TAGTCCCAGAATAATAAAATTATTTTCATTTCATTTCATTAAATTCGTGAAATAAGTACTGAGCTAAATGAATCTGAGAATCTAACAAATGATGTTTAGAACCTTGCAATCTGCGATACATGCTCTGCCTAATAGTTATTAGTAATTCATATATTTACATATCAGAGCAATCAATTGATAATTATTTAGTTATGTCAACTACTTACCTACGAACCACGGATTCCTCTTGTTATTCTCTACAGTGAGGCTGAGGAAGTACTCCTCGAATCCTTTGACGGGATTGGCCTGCGGCTGGACGGAGAGGGTGCCTTCGACTTCTTCTTCATTGCCGATGGACACCAGATCCCTCGCGGACCAGCCGTCCGAGCCGATCCAAGAGAATATCTTGGAGGCGTTCATCCTCCGCACTGCACGCATCACACCTGCCACTTCTTGGTCCGAGCCGAAGATGATTGCACCTGTTGACAAGAATAGATACTGCAATCCATTTTATCTTATTTATTATCTAATAAATTAGCATATGTAATCCTGTTAAATTACTATCAATGAGGTTTTTAATGATGAAATCATAGAATTTAAAAGCACTACGAGAGAAATACTGAGTGAATTATCTCTTTTACCGAAAGAGAATTATTGATGAGGATCACAATCCTCAGGACTTTTGGTCGAAAACATATGTATTGGCTATTTGGGGTGCCGTAGCAATCAAATAAAGTAATCGTTTGAAAAGTTCAAAGTAAAGGATCATTTATGCATGTCACCTTCGATGACCATCTTAAAAAAATCATCTAAAATCAACGATGAACGATAAAGCTGATCGCTATTCCAGTTGACTTTGACTAGGAGAGAATCACTTTAATTTCATAAAAGGGTGCTGTCTAATTATATGGAGTACTAGAGACACAGAGTACTTATCTATCAATACAATGGACAATCTTTAAATCCAATATACAAAAATTTTCCGCCATTTTTATGTATTAGTACGCATTCAATTTTTAGTACCTAATTAAATAGAAAAGGTTGCCGATGTCCAGATTTAAAACGCCCTAATTCCAAGAGTTTTCGTAAATGAAATAGTTGTAGGTGATGCTATTCACGAATGAAGTTTGCATAAAGTATGACATGAAGTTTAGTCCTATATTATAATTTGATAAAAAGGGTCTAATAAAAACTTATAATACTAATAAAAACCACGGACTATAATTTTCAGACCATTATCTTCAATAAAACTTAGGCCGAAGGATTGGGATAATATAAAATAAATAATTTTTGTTTATATTTTCCTTTGTGTCTATAACATACAATTAACATCCCGACTAATAATTTCTCACTATGTTAAGCCTATATTGTTTCAAAATACTAATGGGATTTCACTGACTAATTTCAGCAATGTATTTAACGCCCAATGTATAATTTCTGACATTTATTTTTTAAAAGATAAAGAAATGAATTTTAATTTCATTACATTAATTGCTCTTGTTACAAGTTTTAAGTTGATTGGCATAAATTATTCAATAAAGTTTAAGCTCTGAGTAATTATAAAGTTCTGAGAAGTATTAATTTGGTCGCTTGCGAACTGCAGATATTATTTTCCATAAAGGTGCTAAGCGGTGGAAGGTACCTTCGAACCTCAGATCGGATCCTATAAAGCCCCGTGCCTATAAATCGAGACGCCCTCCCTGACTGTCTTATAAAGGGACCTTTATTGAAACAATTATTTTTCATCTGCCCTCAAGGAACCCAATTTCCATCGGGCCAGTTCTAAAGAGGAGGGGAGCAGGAGGGGGAAAATAAGGGAAAGGTCTCTTTCAGCGTATAATTAGCTCAAGCCCGAAGGCTCTCTGAGCATTTTTCAGTTTAACCCTCGAGAAGATCTTTTGTCTGGAATTGTAATTATTTTTCTTCTTCGGGAATCTGTTAGCTTAATTTGCTGTTTAAAGCCCTCCCTCCATCCTCTCGGTCTGAAATATCAAAGTCGATACCTTTTGATTCTGATTGCCCTTTCTCATTATTCTGTTTTGTTTTATTTAGTATTTTTATAGTACTTTTTTTCCTCACTTACCTAAACAGAGAACATTTCTTTTCATGCTGGCGTTTAAAAAAAAAAAAATACTCAGAATAGAGAATCTGCAATCGAGGTTTACATTTTACACATTATTATGTCTTCAATTTAGACCACTTTTTATTAAATTATTGACATCTGTTTAAAACTATCCGAATGACTTCATCTTATTGTTACCTACAACTTTTTTCTGTTACAGGTATAAAAACTAATGAAATAATAAAAAATCATGAATAAATCGGGAAAAAAATCCCAAGGTGTGTGCTTTAGGCACGATAGAAGTGAAAACATCAAAAAAGCGAGATTAATAATAAGAAATATAAATTATGAATAATAGCTCATTATAAAGAGGATGAAATTCTAATTACTTTTCTCTGTCGAATTTAAAAATCATCTATTTAGCAAAATATAAAAAATAAACCGAAACCTACGCACTTCTATGTTGTTTAAACTTTGGAAATGGTCTATGTACACGTTTGGGTAATTTTTTTAAAAATTTTAATTTGATTTTAAATGCCCATCACAACGTGGCACATTAACCTAAGTGCCTCGCAGAACTGATGACCGCAGCACAGACAGCTACTGTACGACGGCGGTGGTACCTTGATGAAGAACTGAAAGATGGCCATTTAGTTTCCATGAGCATGGAACCAACCATTAATGTCAGCCGAATTAATGGCCCTGACCCGGATAAGCTCGGAACAAAATGTTCACCAGAGGGCGGCACAAAAGGTTCATTATGGAACTTTATCGTCCAACTTACCGAACAAAGTAACTTTATATTTATACAATATTCGTTTTATCTGCACAAAGTAAACATACATATACATTTTCTCGTGTCGTTATTACGACATCAGGTAAATAAAATACATGAACTCAAAGCTGGAAAAAATAAATAAAGACCATTACATTTCACGGATCAGTCAGATAAACATACAGATTACAAAAAAATATTTCTCTAACCGTTTTTTTTTTTCAAAATGATTGAATCTTATATAATTTTGCCATTTTATTATTCATTTAATTTCAGTATAAAATTTTAAGTGCTTACATTTTTACAAAGTGATGACTTGTTGACTTCTTAAGAAAGTATATTTAAATTAACAATTGTAATTAGCAAATGTATACATTAGAATTAGATACAAGTGAAAAGAACCAATAATACATTATGAACTTTTTATCTAGGTCATTTGTCGTTTGAAATTATCTTGAAACAAAAATTCACCGAAATATGTATATATCATTTATTGTATAATTGTAATTGTGTGTATTAGTATATTTTAGTATTGATTTTGTTTGTGCTGTTTAATATGAAAAAGAATTTGTATAATCAAGTGCTAAGTCAAAAAAAAAAAAAGGATTGATGAGTATGCTGTGTATCGAGCAAACCTATTTAGTAGGGAAGCGCTGTTTTAAATAAAGTATTTCTCTCTCGGAAGGAATTATAAATGTGTGTCTCCGCTAAAAATTACAATATCTAACATTTTTGTTGAGAAATATTACTTTCTGTCAGAATATAGGACATAGGTAATTGTGAGAATTACAAAAGTAAATGTGAGTTAATTCACATTATTTATAAAAAATAAAAACAAATAAAGTAAAAAAACATAAAAAAACATAATTTAACTAAACAACAATATTTAACAAAAATAAATTAAATATAAATAAAATAAAAAACCTTTTCAACGAAGGCATACGTATACACACTATCTGCTTTCCTTTCTTTATCCTCTGGAGTTGCCCAGGGTTCAATCATATCTCTTCTCCTTTTCAGCTCCTACATTAACGACCTACCTAAATCAATTCTCCATTGTTCCCATCACCTTTATGCAGATGATTCCCAGATCTACCTATCCTTTTCTCCCTCTGAGTTACTGGGGGCATTTGCCAAGATTCAAGAAGACCTTGATCGAATCAATGCCTGGGCAAATGTAAATGGATTAAAGTTAAATGCTGCCAAAACTCAGGCCATTGTCATTGGTTCCAAGCCCCTTATTAGATGCCATACTGACTTTCCCATATTACACCTTAATGACCAGCCAATTTCCTTCTACTCCTCTGTTAAAAATTTAGGATTTTTCATAGATCAAACCCTCTCCTGGACCTACCATATTTCGCACATTTCCCGTCGGACAATTTCTACCCTTAAACTATTTCATCGCTTCCGCCATCTCCTACCTCAACATATCCGTAAACTCCTAATTTCCTCTCTTATCTTCCCCCACTTTGCTACAGCTGTGTGGTGTATGATGGCCTCTCGGTGGAGCTCCGTGATAGCCTGAAAAGATTAATGAATAGCTGCGTAAGATTTGTTATTGGTGCCCCGAGTTACTCCCATGTCTCTCACCACTACACTGAGTTAAGGTGGCTCTTCCCCTCCTTCCGAAGACAATATTTTCTAGGTACGTTCCTCTACCAAATCATCAACAACCATCGTCCTTCTTACGCCTACAACCTTCTCCAGTTCAAATCCTCAGTCCATTCCCTGTCCACAAGATCTCGACCTTCTGACCTTTACATGCCTTCTCACAGATCTGCTTCATTCCAAAATTCCTTTATTGTTCGCTCTGTCAATTTCTGGAATTCCCTCCCTATCAAAATTTGACATTCCCCCTCCATATCCACATTCAAATCCCTCCTATTCCAATTCCTATCACAAAAACAGTCAGATACTTGCTAACCCTTCGAGCGGATTTTAATAGAGAATTTGATACATTTTTATTTTTTAATTCTTTATTTTTTTCGGAAAAGAGTATACTGGTCTATAAGAGCAAATAGCTTTAAGTGTCTTGTTATAGTATTAATGGTTTTGTATATAGTTTAGTTTGTTTTGTCGAATTTTTACCTTATATTTTTTTTACATTATTTCTTTTTTTCGATTGATTTTATTTTGGCCAGATGTAATATTTTAATTTTGTTCTATTTTGTTATTCTCAAGGGACTGTGTCCCAGAATAAAGTTATTTTTCTATCTATTCTATCTATATACAAATTTAAAATCAGTTATTGAAACTTTGAATTAGTTCCGACCCGTGCAGGAAAAGCAAGACTCTAGGAGATCGCAGCTTTTCTCAATAGCGTTACTGGTATTGAAAGTCAATGAAAGTTGAGCGAGAGTGCTATAGCCACTGAGTAAATGTAAATATAAAACTGAGTAAATATGATCATTGCCAAAACTCCAATACATACATATTAATATTCAAAGATTGCGGAGCCACCATCGACACCTCGATCCAATCCACAATCCAACGATTGTAAGGTTGAATGGAGCTAATTAGGGATTACGTTAGTGGATTTGACTGATAAGTAAGGTGCTGGTGAAATTTAGAGAATTTTTCTAGGGTCAGGTCTTATGCAAATGGGACATTAAGGTCAGGATGTAGAGTTTTGTTGGTTACATAGAATGGGGCATTGAGGATTACTTTAAATCGGAAGGATTACAATAAAATAATACAGTTTTGTTACCCAAAACGTAAAATATACGACGCTTCATTATACGCAGGAATGCCCAAAAGGCGTTTCATGGCGCATGTTGTGCCATCAACATTTTGAGCACATTTTTATGCGGTTTTTAATGTTTGAAGGGGGTAAATTTCTATGGAGTTATATATTTTTGGAATGAAAAGTTTCAATCCAGGTGGTAAGGGAAAAGATGGACCAGACTACAACAAGTTTAATTGTACATTACCTATGATTTTTCAAATTCTACTTTTGCTTGCATGTTTTAAAAAGAGGTGAGTGGAAAACTATTTTTTGAGGGGAGGAGGGAGGTATGTTCCTGCTGTATAGATCTTGGGAGAGGGGAAGGCAATGGACACCCCCTTTCTAATAATATGTCAGTTACGGTTTACAATATGAGGAGTTCGGGGGTGGGGTGGCGGAATGGGCTAGCGCGTGTGCAAAGCACCGAGAGTTGCCAGGCAACCAGATAACCGTTATGAGATTAAAAAAAATGTCTGAGTTCGCATCCCGGTGCCAGAGGGGATTTTAAATTTCCTGTCCTTACCCTTCCGGTCCGAGAAAATCTCGTATAGCCTAAAAGGCGAGGTAGGGAGGAACAAGAAAAAAAAAATACGAGGAGTTTGATATTCCAATCAGTTCTGGTATTGCTAATGAACATTATTTTTAACATCCAAAAATTTGAAGTAAGATTGCAACTAATATATATAAAAAAAAAATAAAAAATGGATTGAGGATGACTGATTAATTGTAAGGATTTCAACATATAAAAATAAATTAATTGTGGAGAAAAAAAAAATGCACTCTCTACTTGAAAGAAACTAAATATAGAACAATCTCCCACCTTCCATTTTGGGTTGGACATGCCTTTGATTGAGTATGTGTTGGAATGACTTGAAGTGATTTGCTGTCACTAGCTGATGGGTCTTTTTCAACAGTTGACTTGACATGTATCTGCAGTTTTATTTTCTAGTCTTGAATGAATTGACGAAAAATGAATTTACTGGTCAATTATTTACTGATATTCGAGAGACTTGAAGCTTTGTTTTTGGAAAATAACAATATCCCAACATTACATTGATTAAATGTTTTTACTTTCACTTACTTATATATGAAATATATAGTAAGGGAAAGTATTGCTATGGTGAAAATTTTCGACTGCGTTTTCAATGGAAATACATATTTTGAGGTCTCCTGATTCCAAATAACGAAGTCCCGCAAAACGTATCTGTGTGTGTGTATGTATGTGAACAGTCTAGCTCAACAACGAAAAGTCGTACAAATGTGAAATTATGAAATTAGAATATTCAATCTCATTATGAAATATGAATTTAAGGTTTGTATATACCTTGTATATTACATCAACTTTTTCATGAAAATCAGCTAACCGCAAGTGCCACTTTATATTAACGGTGAAACACTTTTTTTCAAAAACGGCTCTATCGATTTTTATTAAACTTGGTTTATCATTGTATAATTGAGTAGTTTTTAACATAAATTAGGTCTTATTCCAATTTATGTCACTTTACAGGGGTTAAATGGCCAAGATTCCTATACGTCTTCCTCTAAAGCACCTTTAACATGGTTTATGTTACGAAAAAATGTTAAATATAACTTTTGAAATAATTTGATAATTAAATAAAGCAGAAAACAATAAAAATGCTTATCCAGGTAGAAAATGGATCTCCGGAAATACTAGTCAGAAGGTATACTTATAATATATCGTTGGAAATCTGACTAACGAAAAAATTCTAAATAATAATTTTTGATAACTAATATTATTTAATGTAAATCACACAAGGCATTATGGGAGATATTAAAATAAATTTGGTATATAAATCCAAAATTATAATTTTAGGAGGCAGTGGGTTAAGGAGTAAGTAGGCAAAATTTATTCTTTAGTTACTATATAGTTTACAGCGTTATATGTTTCTAGATAGCTTAAGAAGGGTATGGATGGGATTTCGTTCTTATTCTGTTTAGTTATATATATGAAATACGGGGAGAAGTATTATTAATGACAAAGGAATGTTTTTAGGATATGGCATGTCCTTCCAACTTTTGTATGGGTAGAAATAATATATTTCCATTAGCTTCACATTTTTAAGGCAATTTTCTATTTTCTCTAATGTAATAGGTGTTGCACTTAGGGTTCGAACATGGAATGTGGTAAACTGAATCG